CAATGCAATTTCATAAATCTAAGCCTTCTTTAATATCATTGGCAATAGAGCTTCTTCGATAAGCAGTAACAACATTTGCATAGGGTTTTTCTGTGTTCTTTTCATATACGGTATCATTTGAGACTCAGAAAAACTATGGTTGTCAGAAAGACAGCAATTAAATGAGGAATCTGAGGCCTGAGGAAGGGAAGTGATACCCTTTACTGCAAGGTGTGCTGCCCCAGAGAGCCTGCCTCAAGTCATCTTCTATTGGCTTTGCCAGAGGGGGAGATGGGGATGGGAAAAGAGGTGGAGGGTGAGAGGTGGGAAGTGGAGGTTTGTGTTGGGGGATGGGACTTGGCAGTAGAGAAGCCCTGAGCTTGGAATGCTTCTTTTACCTTCTGGTTAGCTGTGCTTGACAGTTGTTAGGCTGGAGTTTAGTAAATCACACTAGAGTAGGAACAACATCTCACACGGCTTATTTTAAAAATGTCTTGGCAAATTCACAAGTTGTGTTTCTGGGCTTTGCCCAATGTTTTTCTTGAGTTTCATGTGCCTTTTTTCTGGCTTCAGTTTTTTCCTGTTTTCTTCATCATTTTCCGATAATATTCCAATTTAAGGAAGTTTGGCAAATTATTAAAATACATATATGAAATTCAGATATCTTTTTTCTGCCTATATCTCAGTATTTATTAATACCTGGAAGCATGAAAGTCATTTTCATGAAAAATGTTTAAGTAATAGAGTTATACTTTATATTTTAAATAAGATTACTATGTTGTACACTGTGATACTGGTTTTTTCTTCAGACAAAATGTGTGTCCTACTGAGACTGGAAGATGAATTAAGTTGAAAAAGAAGCAATATTTAGAAACTGAGCATCATATGCTACTGTAAAAGAAGCTGGTTGATTTGACATCCTATTACTCAGATTGCTTTCAGACTTGGTGAAAATGACATGTTTATAAAAATGACATGAGGAAACAAGACCTACTGAATAGTACAGCTACTCTTGACGACACTCATTGAGAACAGCTGACCATGCAATAGATAAGGTCCTGCTCCTAAGACAGTGACAGGCCAGTACTTTTTTAAACATCTTCTGATCGTCAAAGAGTTGGTTCTCTTTACAACTGAATAGTTTTATTATATTCTTTCAAATATTTTGAAATTAGCAATTCATTATAAATGTTACATTTCTAATCCTCCAGTATCAATCAACTGCTTGAAGGTGAGAAGCACACTTAGTCATTTTTTATTTCTATGCTGACCAGCAGAGTGCCTTTCTTATAATAGGCACTCAATAAACATTTGCAAATTCAAACTTCTCAATGAAAATCTTCAGAGAATTTGATGAAGTGGTTGCGTTAGGTAGCAGAATTTATTAGATAAATAGGTGTTTTTCCTGCTAAATTCTCTGTTGTTTGGGGGGACCAAATAAGAAACTGGGATAAAGAGACAATCTATCTTTTTGGAAAGCACCTAACTAGTCCTTTTCAGGATTAACGAGGAAAGAAAGAGTTTTGAACATTCGTGTCATGTAATGACTGCTCTAGCCCTCTGGAAGAGCTCACAGTTACTACAAAGCAATAAAACTTAGTAAGAAATACATAGGTGCCTCCAGGTCAGCACATTAAATCCCAAATGGGTTATACGTGTCATCAGTTAGGATTTACATAAGCAATGAAATTCCCCAGAATCACAAATAGTTCTCACTACTACAGTGAGTTGCTTAAGAGAACTTGCCTTTCTCAAGAGGACCAAATGCCAGGTAACAGAGAGGCTTGCATCCTGCCTGATGAAAGCAGCCATATGGAGGGAGGCTTACAATCCCCTTCTTGTCTAAATGCAAAGCTGCCAATGCCAATGCAATATTTGCTTGTGAAACTTGGGTATTTCTTCCAAGACCTGTGACAACCTGACAAAAATATCTGATTTCTTGAAAGTAAGTATTATCAGGATCATATTTCAGGATAGTACTGACCCTAAAACCATTACTTTCTTTTCTCCTCATCATATTTCCCCATCTATTTTGTCATGAATGCTTGAATAACTTAATAATTAAATTAGATTAGCTGGAACCCAATAAAAAATTGTAAGCCAGAAGAAAACACTGGACTGAGGCTGCCCAGCGTAAACAGTCTACATTTCTTATAAAGGAAAGAGCCATGGGTGTCAGCTATTGAATCCCAAACCATCAATTGTGTTTATAGAATCTGATGCAAGCAATGGTGTGCAGGTAAATGTTTAACAACCAGCTCTCTGAAGAGAAAAGCTCCCTAGTTTGTAGTACAGATGTTCTCTTTATAAGCAGCAGTTCTCCCACACAGCCATTTTCAATCTGACGACATGGAGTCACTGAACTCAAAGTTAGAAAGAAATGCTGTAGTTAGCGCTTGTTTTGGTGGTGTTGCCTCCATGACAGCACTGGGTAAAAAAACCTTACAAAATGAGACCTCCTTATGACAAAATGGCCACAACTAAGTTCACAATCTAACCTGATTGAATGATTGACATACAGAAGAAAGGAATTCTATGACAGGTCTTACTATATAAAACCCTCATAGAACAACAGAGGCTGTCGGAAAACACAAAGTGCAAAACAACAACAACTTTGCTAGCAGAGGTAATTTTACCATTCTTTTTCTTTCTTCTGGATATTGTAATCTAATGTGTTATTTTGATAAATTATCATTCACCAGAAATCTTAAAAAGAAAAGGCATTGAACATTGCCAGGGAATAGATATTTTACAAAAGCATTTTTTTACATGACTAAAGTTTATCTCTCTAATCAAAAAAATCTTTAAATTTTATTCTAATCATATTGCATTAAAATTGTGGGAAAATATACTGATTCTCTGACTTCTTAGACAATGTATAATGGATGCTGTTAAATTCTTCCTTCTTGCAGGGCATTAAAAGGGAATTGGGACTGGCCCATGAAACACTGAGTTGCACTGAGGAGCTATTTAAATAAATTGAGCTGTGGGGTCCTCTTGCCCACTGTTGTGTTCTGTAGTGTTCAGGTTGGCTTTTTCCATTTCTCCTCTGCTTTCACCCCTCTACCTGCTGTGAGCTGTCACTTGCTGTCTGAGTGACGGCCTGTGACTATTTCACTGCCTTCTTCCCATTTTTAATTTGCGGCTTCTAACCTGCTGAGAGCTAGGAAACAAAGCAGCCAGCCCACCTTCTCTGCCTTTTTGTATAAAATAGACCCTGGGAGAAGACCTAGAAGGCTGTTCTGTGATTAAGGGGCAGTGATTTTGATCTACCAGTTTTGACATCTGGTTTCCCTACTGGTACTTAATCTGTACATTTTCTAAAGCAAGAAAGAAAAAAACATACTAGTGTGGCCGTGATCCTGCATGATTGAACTTGTGCCTAAGATCTATACTATCCACAAATAGATTACGATATTGCTATTTCTCTCATCTTGCAGTACTTTGAAACGAGTAACGCTTTTCCTTTCTTAAACACCTTGAAAAATAGATTTGTCCTACTAATAGATTTGTCTTCCTAATTAGAGATGGATTCCTTCAGAGCCTCTGACTTGTCATGTTCTGTCGCACAAAGACAATTCTGCTTAAAATTTTATCTCCCCTTAAGTAAAATTTATACACACAATGATGCAGATTCTAAGTGTACAAGTCAGCACGTTTTGATCAATGGCTCCACTAACTATCCATCACTCCAATCATAACATAAAAGCTCCATCACCCCAGAAAGCTCTCGATGCCCTTCCCATCTATCCCTATCCCTCACACACCATCACCACTCTGTGGGCCTATTGCTGAATTTTGGTTTTGGCTTCTTTGGTTTAGCATATGGTTTGGAAGATGAAATCATCCCATTGCATGTGTTGAGGGTTCATTCCTTTTCATTCTAGTATATAAATTCCATTCTTTCTTCTGTTGATGAATACCTTGGTCCATTCTGTAGCCTTGTGAGGCAGTTTGGAACTATTAGGAATAATGTTGTGTAAACATTCTTGTATATGTCTCTACGTGAACCTATGTTTTCATTTCTTTAGGGTATATATCTAGGAATAGAACTGCCAAGTCATAGGGTAGATGACTCTTGTTTTAAGTCCACAGTTTGTTATGAAAATTTTCAAGTGTACACAAAAAATGAAAGGGACTCTACAATGGACACTGTTAATTATAATATGCTCCACCTAAATTCTACAAGTAGCATTTTACTATTTTATCTTGTGCCTGTTCCTCTATTTACGCATCAATTTGTCTTATTTTTTATTCACCTCAAAGTAAGTTACAGATATCAGTACTCTTTATATACTTCACCATGCATATCACTGACTAGAATTTGGTATTTGCTTACAGATTCTTTTAGGGGAAATTTATACGCACTAGTTTGTGTCTTTTGCCCATTAAAAATGTTCTGTCAGACATACATATTTAAATATTTTCTCCCAGTCTATGGAGTGCCTTTTCATTTTCTCAACAGTGTTTTGTTTTTTTCCTCCTTTATTGTTGTGCTGGGTAGGGGTACAGTGTGGCATTTACACAGGCTCTTACAATATATCAAATACATCATACACCAATTCACCCCCTCCACAATTCTCCTTTATCCCACCCTCCCCCCCATTCCTGGAACAGTTTCAACAAGTATCATTTTTGCATTTACATACATGTGTACACATTTTTTTGCACCAGGTTCACCTTCCTACCCCCTTTCCCCATCACCTCCCCCATCCCACTGGTGCCAGCCTCGCCCCCCTCCCCAGGACCTATTCCAACCTCCTGTTCTCTAATTTTGTTGAAGAAAAAAGAGAAAAGATAAAATGAAAAACCATGACAATTTAGCTTGTTTAGCAGTATCTTTTGATAAGCAGAGTTTTTTTTCTTTACTTTCATGAAGCTCAATTTGTTAATTTTTAATAATTAATGTTTTCTGTTTATGTTTAAGAATATCACAAAGATATTCTACATTTTCTTCTGGAAGCATTATAGGTTTAGCACAATGAATTAAAAGCATCTTTCTTTTTTAATTCATTTTTAATTTTTTTATTGAGGTATGACTGACAAATTTGTATATATTCAAGGTGCACAAGGTGGGATTTTGATGTAGAAATTCATCGTGAGTTAATTGTAACAATCAAGCCAGATGTCCTGGCTTCATCTCTGATGCAGTTACCTTGTTGTGTGTACAGTGAGAATACTTCAGATCTAGTCTTTTAGCAAACACATTTTCTGAAGTCCAAAAACTGCAGCTAATGGATACCAGTAAGATTCAGAAATGAGAACCAATAGCTAACTTCATTCTCTGGATTTTATATCTTTTCTCTCTTGAGCTAATTGCTTATGCAGTGTATCTAAACTCTACTCAAACCATAGTTGTAAAAGAGAAGGAAGAATACCAGGAGAAAATCTATTTTGGAGTCTAGTTGATTTGTTGAGTTTGTGTCTCCTGCTTTATGGGCTGATTGAAGCAGAAGTCCTCTTCTCGTGACTCAGACACAGGATGGTTAAGAGAGAGTGTTGGGAAGCACTGGTTGACTGCTTTGCTTACTTTGTGCACAGAATCTTGACCAGAATTGTCATTCAGTCTCCCAGAGTAGCAACGTATGGTTAACAATACAGTCACAAAACTCAGAACCTTATGAAGTTTTATTAACTAAGAATGATAATGGTATAGTATGGAATGTGATTCTTAAACAGAGAAAGTGAGACAATGAAAAATCAAGAGAAAGAGAGAGCTATGGAGAGATGGAGAAAGAGGTCACAAATGCACAGCATATTTCTTTAGTAGGATCTCCAGCTTCGCTGAAGAACTATGAAAGATAACTCTCTCTCTCTACCTCTCTCTCTCACTCTGTCTCTCATTCTCTCTCTCTCTGTCTAGTTTTCCCCTTCTCCATCCTGAGGAGCTGCATTGTCTATTGCCCCTTCTTTCAGGACCCACACTAGTTAGAGCAGGAACAATGGCTTCCTTGTGTTGGGTCATTTAACACCAAGTGTGGAGAGAGCTCTAGCACTCTGGCAAGTGCTTGAAGCTCAGGTTTTTCGCTTTTTTGTTTTTTAACTCTTCACCAAACCTCTCTTCCATAGCTCTAGCTACCCTTGCAATTAACCATAGAGCGAAAGGAGGCACACTGCCATTGTTTCCTGACCCTCCAGCAGCACTTCATTCTTGACCCATTCTGTAGCCTTGCGAGGCAGTGGATGTTGTTATGTACCACTCCTGGGCCTTTCATAGATGACAATGGCTTCTAAATATTCCAGATTGAACGTGAACTGAGAGTCCTTGGACTTTGCTATCATGAGTGTCAAGCTTTCATGCATCCTGGGATCCAACAACCTTGCTTTCATTGTGTTTAGTTTACCCCCAAGTACACAGCCTGCATACACCAGAATAATTTGTCTAAATTCAAATTTAAAATGTATTTGAGCTGGGCTTGATGGTGTGCTCCCAGCACTGGGGAGACTGATGCAGAGGTTCTTCAGTTTAAGATCAGCCTGGGCTATATAGTGAGACTCGGTTTCAAAAACAGCAACACACACACACACAAAAGATGTATTTACATGCCTTTATGAACACTTCATAAAGTGTTCAACAATCTAAATTAAAAAAAGTTTTCGGTTTTAAGCGGTTATTTTGACTTCTTACCAACATAGCCTTTATTGAAATGCTTATACATTAATTTACGCAAGCTCATAGTTTTCACTGCACAACCAATTTGCACCAACAATATGGACATTTAATTATATCAAAGTTAGTAAACACAATAGATTTTTCCATGAGAATTCCTGGGAAAACATTTTAATCACTTAAAATATCATTAATTTAAAAACTCAGTAGACTAAATAAGATTTGGCAAACCCCTACCCTTAAGACAAATTGTTCGTATTTTTCTTAATTTGTTCATGTGTGTTACCATGGAGACAGTGAAGTCAAAACACTCCAGCCAGTGCATTGTTCCGCTCTGGACTTCCTACTGTAGATTTGATTAAGTAATCTGGCCTGCCCATTTTGGAGAATCTGAGACCTCACATTGTTTCTTCAGCACAAACATGGTCAGCATTCAGACATGATCAATAAAGCAATGAGAATTAGATCTTACGTGTGATTGTTGCCCTTTCCCATGTGATATAATAAGAAAAAGATAAATCACTTCCATTAGTTATTTTTGTGACAAGTGTAGTATCTCTGATTCATTCCTCAAAGCAGCAGGGCTTGATCTTGAAAAAGGGATGAAAAAAACTGCTTCTGTGGTAAATGAGACAGGTGGCTTCTTCAACTGAAGCACCAAATAAGGTGAGTTTTGGACTCATTTCCTCTGCAGAGGCGCTGGCTGGTATTATTCTCCATCTTCCTGCCCTACAGAACACGCAGAACAATAGGAAAATGTACCACGTTTTCAAGGGATTGTAGTTGCGGTCTTACAATTTTGCCTTTTCAAGACCCATTCATGACATGCTTCCTCATAGCAGTGTTACTTTTATCCTCATGGGGGCTCTTCTAGAAAGTTCGTGTGGCTATCATGTCTATGTTTTGTTCTTGCCCTTAAGAAAAGGCATCCCTATGCTTTAATCCACATCAAGGAAGGTGTACCTTTTGCATATATAAGGCCCCCCTCCCCAGTACTTCATGAGGACATGGAAAGGGAAAAAGCTTAGCTTTCTTTTGTTTCTTAAAACAAAAATGAATTGTCTGAATCACCAGAGAATAGGCAGAGAGCATCCTAGTCCTCTACCCACTACCAACAGAAGAAAATTGATTGTTTGCTTTTTCAAAATCTCCATTTTCTTTGTATCTAACATTCTCGTGGAATTTTGAAGCTGATCGATTGTAGTAATTTGGCTTCTTTGCACGGGTTTTTTTTTTTTTTTTTTTTCAGTAATGGTCAAGTCACCCAAGCAGCTGAATGATTTCAGTGCCTTTTATTAAAAAAAAAAAAAAAGTTCCTCCTCTTCATTGCAAGTACAGAAAACTCTTTAGGTTTTCCTACTTGGCTTTATGTGGAAAATATTTCAATGATACTTTGTTAATGTATTTCTTTCCAACAATTAGAATATGAATATTTAACCATATAATTACATTTCATCTAGTGGAGAGATTTATGCATCTAGTTTCTACACGTTTCTTAAAGTATAGAACACTCTTTATGACCTCAGAGATACAACTTCTTCCTTAGCACTCAACAAGAAGCACAAACCAGATGTCCAGGGTGTGCATTTATACAGCAGTTCATCTGTAAATACAGTTTTAAGGGTGTGCTCGTGGAAAAGGAACTACCACTTTGAACCTGCCCAATCAATAGTGTGTTCTAGAACACAGGCCTGGAGCTGCCTCCTTCACATCTCTGATGCTTGAGAGGTGGAGACTGGGCACTGTCTCTCTGCCTTAGGAAAGCCTCAGCCCTCCTCTCCAAGGACAGCAGGGACAGATGGGCAGTGTATTTGACAAGGAACCCCTACATCCTTGCTTCAACGCCCTTCTACTCTACTTTTAAAAGCAGCACTGTATTTTTTAAGTGTTGGAACTGGCAGCTCTGCAGGCCACTGCCTGCAGGGGAACAATTCTCCATTCAAATCAGGCAGCCCAAACCCACATGAAGTGGGAGGTTGGGATAGAGCACACAGATGAGGGCCTCTCTGCCCTCCACCACATGGAGGGTGAGAGCTGTGTTCAGGCACACCAAAGATTTCAGAAGGAAAAATTCAGCAGAGTTCTTTCACAGCATCTATTATGCCACTATCACAAGGATTTACAAATTGGGGAAGAAAAAACTCACTGTAGTTGGCTGCCTTTTGCTGGTGCCATCAGGGTCTGAGCCTCCTCTAAATCCCATAAGCAGGAGGCTTTAGTCTTCCTTCCTCACTCAAGGCCTGTTCAGCCACACCAGATTTTATAGCACTAATATTGCTAAAAAACATCTGATAAATGAAGGAGCCAATGCCAGGCTTTGGGGAGAGGTGGAGGAGGACTTGCAAGTTCGACAGGGCAAGAAGAGAAAGACGAGTGAAGGGAAAAAGAAAGGAGAGGGGGAACGCCTCATGAGTTTAAGTTTCTTCTGTAAGACAAATGGCCTATGTTTAGTCTCTAAAGAGTTGGTGCGTTTCCTGCCCATGAGGGAATTTACCTGCAACAACAACAGAATAGTGACATGAAATAACACAATATACAGACAATGTGTGTGTGTTGACCCACAAAATTCTTGGATGTTAGAGTTCCTTCTATAAAATGTCAAAGTATTTGCAAATAACCCACACATATCCACCTGTTACTTTAAATCATCTTTAGATTACTTACAGTATCTGATACAATGCAAAATCTATGGAAATGGGAAAATAACAAGGAAAAAAAGTACATGTTCAGTGCAGACAATTTTTTCCCAAAATAGTTGGTTAAATCTGCAAATAAAGACCTTGGCAGATACAGACAACTGGCCCTATATACCCAGGTCTATGCCAGCCACTTTCATAACCATCAGCTGGATCGTCCAGTTCCTTTTAACTTTGCTGTTTCTTCAAACCCCTTCCAAAGACTTTTGCCCCATAGGAGACTACAGATATAGATAGCATCTCCGAGACCAAATTCCTAATTTGTCAGAGAGGCCAAAAGATCTCCCCAGTGATATACAACTAGTTAGGGTCAGAACAATTTTACTGTGCTTAGCCGTCTTTGTTTAAATGTTGCTTTCTTATTTGCCTTTGACATTATTTGCAAAATGGAAATCAATTCAACTTTAGTTAACTCACAGCCTTCCTAAGCAGAGCAGATAGGGGCTGACCAGCCCTGCCTGGAACTCTCCCTGGGGTCTTGCCACTTCCTAGTTATTTGACCTAGGGGCAAATAACTAGGTCAAGAACAAATTGTATACAAGTGGAGAGATACCTGAATGTCTTGTACAAATGACTTTGTCTTTGCCAGGACCTGTGTGAAAGATGAGAATTCAGAAAGAAACAGATACAGTCTCTGTGTTCAAGGAGTCTGTAGATTTATGGAAGATACAGAAATATAAGATATTTATCCAATTCTACTGGAATAAGCATTACAGTAGGTTTTTAAGCAAGCTCTGCAAGGAGGCTAGAGATGGTCGGCAGTCTGATGGGCTCCAAGGGCTAGTTTAGGTAGTGTTACCAGTGGAGCAGTTAGGTCCAGGATGAAAGCCTGTGTGGTGGTGGCATCCAATGCACTGGAGACTGACAGAGGGTTGTCATGGTTACTCTGCCTGGTCCTAGAGATAAATAAGTCATGAGTATCAAGAAATGAGAAAGCAAAAGTAAGTTGGAGCCAGTTCCTTAAGAATCTTGCGTGCTACGCTAAATAATTTAGACTTTGTTTTATGACTAATAAAAGCACAACATTGCCTTTGAAGCAAGATAATGTCCAGAATGACAAGGAAAAGGTCTGACTGGAATAAAGGAAGCTTTGCTAGCACAAAACCTCACCTCCCTCATCCATGAGGCACACTGGCCCAGGGCCAAAGTAATTGAGGACAGGTGGCACCCGGACTCTAGTTGGTTCCAGATTACACCCTAGGACATCCCAGAGACAAGAAGCCCCAACTGAGTGCTGAATAACCAGCCTACCTGAGGGAAAAACAAGCACCAGTGCCATGGAGAAAAGCCCCTGACAAATTGTTGGAAACAGGCAGAAGGAATGACATTTCAAAAAGCCCCCTTTCTTTGTCTTTCCTGGTCTGTGTCCTTAATTTCCAGGCTGTCTCCGTAGCAAAGTTGGAAAAGCCCCTCGGTATGTATGTGGGAGTGTTTTCTGGCAGAGCTATTTCTAGCCATAGGTATCGTTTTTTGAGTTCAATACTCAAGTCAAGCCTGAACAGTTAATGATGAACTTTTCCCAGAGGTTAAAAGTAATAAGACCATCTTTGTGTCTTTGTGGTCTGACTTTTCACAGATGATTATGAAGGGGAGGTGATTTATCCATGTAATTTGCATGTTAATGTTTGTTCTAAAAATATTCTCTGAGAAAGGAAAAAAACACTTCAAAATCTATTTCAAGGGAAAAACATTTCAGTTCCTATGATCCAAGTGCCAAGCAGTTCAAAAAAATTGATTCATTTTAAATTAATTTCACTCATTACAAGTTTCACATATCAAGTTATACTTAGAGTTTCAATGAAAGCATATTCACATACTTATTAATCCAAGATAGAATAGGGAACTTCAAGAAGAGATTCCTTCAAAAGTCCTTCAAAATTCAACTTCTCTCTTCCCTTGCCTCACCAGAGCTCAACGGCATGGCATTGAGACCTCCACCAGGCCCCAGACTGTGCAGGATCCTGGGATTGTCAATTTGCAGCACCTCAAAGCAGGAGTGAAATAAAAGTTAGCACGTGCTGATTGTCAATGCTTTCAAAAGAAAAGGAAGCCATATTGCAATGATCCAACTTGAAAGGAATTTTCTGATTTATGTGAGTCACAATATGAAATATTCCCAGAGCCCACAAGGTAAAACTCAGCTTGAGGAAAACACCATGAGCTGGCGTTTCTGCAGTGTGGCCTGAGAGGAACTGCTGTTACCTGCTGAATCACCCTCCCCACATCCTGGCAGGCCTGCCTGCTCCCTGGGGGATGGCTGCCCTTTCAGTCTTGACCATGCTTGCTCAGAGAAAGATGAAGTCACCACCTTCATGAGTTTCAGAGATGGCCAGAGAATGGCCTCCTCAGAGAGGCTGGGTCCACCCCGGGGAGGTAGGGAGACCACCCTTTCCTGTGTACTTAACCTACCCTTTGGGCAAATCTTGGATGGACTTGAAGGTTCTTTACAACCTCCGTTAAAATTTCCATTCCCTTAATGTTGTGAAGAAAGAACTTTGTGTTTCTCTCTCTATTGAAGGGTGTGTTTATTGGGGCAGAAGAGTTAACGCCTAGACTTTAACAATAACAATCAATAAAATATAGTGAAAGTGAAACTAGTTAGAAACAAAAGTCAGAAAATCTGGATTCCATGTTCAGTTTGACTTTCCTGTGTGATCTGAGGAAGATCAGTTAACCGCTAAGAAATATCCTCTCTCTTTCTTTCCTTCTTTCTTTTCCCTTCCTTCCTTCATTTTCTTCCTTCCTTCCTTCTTTCTTTCTTTCTTCCTTTCTTTTTTAACTTTTAAAAAATTTTGAAATGTTAATTGACATAATAATTACACATATTTATGGGAGTACTTTATGATAGTTCTTTTTTTGTTTGTTTTTGGCAGCACTGATATTTTTGTTTGTTTTTTGTTGCACTGATGTTTGAACTCAGGGCCTCATGCTTGCTTGCTAAGCAGGTACTCTTATCACTTGAGCCACTCTGCTAGCCCTTTTTTGTGATGAGTTTTCTTGAGATAGGGTCTCTTGGACTATTTGCCCTGGTCTGGCTTTGAACTTGGATCCTCCTGATCTCTGCCTCCTGAGTAGCTAGGATTACAGGTGTGAGCCACCAGCGCTGGCTTGATATTTCAATACATGTACACAATGTGTAATGATCAGATCAGCATCACTGGCCTATTTATGGCTTAAAAACTTTTAATTTTTTTGTGTGAAGACCACTTCTGTACAATTAATTGTTGCCAACCATAGTTGTCCTACGATGCTATAGAATATCAGAAATCATTCCATCTGCTCAACTGTACCCCTGTGACCAACCTTTTTTTAAATTATCTTTTAATTTTTATTGAGTTTATTTCTAATTTGAAAAAAAATTATTTTAAGAAGATTTGAAATAGCCTTCTTCATGGGGATGTGGCAATAGTCTACTGGGGACATGCATAGTTGGGACACACAATGAGAAAGAGAAAGGTGACCTAAAATATTTTGGGGGGTTACACATACAAAGCACATTGGGGGAGGGCAGAGCTAGGAGAGGGAGGAGAATCAGGACACGGTCTGAGAAACAGCATGAACAGTAAGAAGGAGTGCTGGCACAGAGCTGAAGGCAGGAAGACGCCCAGCAGTTTTTTCTAGTCTCACTGAGAACCAGAGTAAGAGAGCTGCTGCTGCTGCTGCTGGATTAAAACGTGGGAGGAAACCCAGTGTTTGGGAGTAGAAAAGAACTCTGAAAAAATTGCATCCACTAGGATGGCATAATAGCATCTTTTTGAAACCAAATCGGCACAGGATCATGCAAATAAATGGAATCCCAGCAGACTGATTTGGTAAGAATGCCCACACAATCCAAAGCCCTCACTAACCCACAGGGCTTCTTTAACTAAAGACTTTCAACCTAACTGCAAAGTGATGTGCTGTGTTTTTGTCCCTGTTTTGGAGCAATGTGTATTACTACCCTCACTAGGGGCTCTGAATAATGTGCACATGTCAAAGGTGACAGCGACAGACGTTCAAATCAATAACATTGACTGGGCGCCTTTTAGGTTTTAGGTATCACACTGGAGAAACAAAGACAAGTAAGATATGGGCCTTGCCCTCAGAGAGAGGCAGACACGTAAACAAATAAATTACAACACAGCATCCTAAATGCCATGACCCATTCTGGCCTGAGCAGGAAGGAGAAGGACGTGATTAACTCCTTCTGGGAATGCCTTACAAGGATGACAAAAGATGGGGGAGGGAAGATGGTGTTGTACAGAACCTCGAATTTTTATAGAAGTGATGTTTTGTAAAGGAGGGAGAGGAGCATTTCATGACCAAATGATTTAAACAGGCTCTTTATGACAAGGTCTGCTGTTTATTTGCATTTGTTACTCTTTAGAACACAGACATGTATCTATAGATACAGATATTCATATAGATAGATCTATCTTACAATTACCACTCTTATTATTTAAGGAGTGTTTTACTATCTCATTCTATACAGGCAATGGAGATATGGAGAGATTAGCAAACTTGCCTAAGAAACACCACTAGCAAGTGGAATAGCCCATGCCACACACCAGGAGACACCCAGTTACATAATCGTTAGGGCTTGTGTGTTATAAGAAGTGCAACAACAGAAGGTGGCAATGGTTTCCTTACTAGTAAAGTGGCATCTTGAATCCTCTCATTTCCAAGACAGATAGGGGAAATCAGTAGAGAGAAAAGAATATCTTTGCTGCACGCATCACTTGATGAAGAAATGTTAATTGTTAACTGAATTCCAAGTAGTCTTCTTCAAGATCGAATTCAAATGTGAAATCAAAAGAGCATCCATTGGTATGATAGGACTGGTAGGTGTTTGGGGATAAACAAACAACACTGCAGAGTTTTAAATGCTAAGTATAATATATGCTTTAGGAGTTGGGCAGTCTTCAAAGCTTAGATGTAAGAAAGACCTATCTGAATGGAAAAATGAGAACTGATGACTGTACTTCATAGAAACTTTTGAGTAAAGTAAGAATAAAATTCTACCAGATCTTCAGGAATGAAACATTGTAGTTCTGGTATGACAATACCAGCCTGTTATATAGGGAGATTTCAAGAGCTGTATATGTGGTGGTGCCTGCCTACAATCTTAGCACTCCAGAGGCTGAAGCAGGAGGAGCACAAGTTCAAGACCAGCCTGGTCTACATAGCAAGAACCTGTTTGAGAGAGGGAGAGGGAGAGAGAGAGATAGACAGACAGACACAGATAGATTTCCGTATTAATTGCTCCCACTTATTGAAAGCCTAACACTGGGCTTTGGAGTCAGACATTCTGAGGAGTTCAAAGCCTAACTTTGCCCCTATGGGTGCATGATTTTAGACAATTTATTCACTGTGCCTGTGCTTTTGTCTAGAAAATGGAGATAATACCATCAGCTTCCCCAAAATAAAAGAATTTAATGTCTCACATGTTACGTACTTAGCATAGTACCTAGCATATCATAAAGGCTCAAAAATTACCTACTCTGATAAGTACTGCTCTATATAGTCTTATAAGAGCAGACAGGAGACAAAGGTTGATTCATTCTCGGAGAAGGAGTCATAGACAAGTTCAAAGAAGAAAAATATTTATGGTGCCCACTAGGATGGCTATAATATTTTTGAAAAGAAAAAATGCTGGTAGGAATGTGAAAAAACTGGAAGTTTATGTATTGCTAGTAGGAATGTAAAGTGGTGCAGCCACTTTAGAAAACAGACTGGCAATTCCTCAAAAAATTAAGAATACTCCCAGGCACAGTGGTTCACAACTATCCCACCAGCCACCCAGGACCCTAAGATTGCAAGAATCACAGTTTCAGGCCAACAAAGGCAAAAGTTTATGAAAGCCCTATCTCGACAGAAAAAGCTGGGTGTGGTGGCCTGTGCCTGTCACCCCAGCTACAGTGGGAAGTCTAAAAGAGGAAGATGGTGGTCCAAATGGACCCAGGCATAAAGCACATCCCTATCACAAAAATAACCAGAACAAAAAGGACCAGCAGAGTGGCTCAAGTGGTAGAACACCTGCCTACCAAGTGCAAAGCCCTGAGTTCAAACCCCAGTCCTACTCAAAAAAGCCAAGCATAGAGATTCCACACGATGCAGCAAATTCATTCAAATGTACATGCCTGAGAGAAATGAAAACATATATCCACATATTTTAAAACTATAATAAAAATTCAGACAAATTGTCAGCTCAAAGAAGCATACTGCAAGTAGTCGGAAATATTCCATCTTGTCAAATGTTCATTTTTTTAAGGAACCATTTATAAGAATTAAGAAAAATAGGAAGATGATAACAAAAAAAGAAAATAAAAGCTCCATGTTAAATAAAAGTTCTTTTTTTAAAATTAAAATTAAAAACTAGTACATGTTACTAGCATTATTATTCATAATAGCTAAAAAGCAGAAGCAACTCAAATGTTAACTAATTAATGACTGCGTAGACAATATGCAGAATATCCATACAATGGAATACAATTCATCCATAAAAAAGGAATGAAGAACTGATACAATGTGGATGAACCTTGAAAATGTTGCTGTAAGTCACAAAAAGCCACAAATCCTGTGATTCCATTAGAAGAAAATGAGGAGGTTCATAGAGGTGAAAAGTGGTGGCTCCCAGAGCTGGGGAGAGGTTGGGAAGGGAAGTGACTGCTAATGGGTACAAATTTCTTCAGAGGTAAAAGAAATGTTCCACAATTAGACAGTGGTGACGATTGCTCAGCATTATAGCTGTATTAAAAACCACTGCACTGACATTGTAACATGGTGAATTTTATGTTATGTGAGTTATTTCTCAATAAAAAAATTGAGGTGATCCAGACAAAGCTAGGGGAATGGGGCGGTGCAGGCTACAGAGTCACCTCAGTTCAAAACTTCAAGGCAATAACATCCAATGTTCAAAACATGCTGATAATCTGACAAAGCTGGGGCCCTGAATCTGTGCTACCCAAACTGTGATCGGTGGACTGTGAATTGTGAGTTACATTCTGTGACCATACCAGTAAAGAACTGGAGAGCAAGCTGCAGAAACATGAGCAGCTTGACCTTGCATGGCCAGTGGCCTCTTCCCTTGGATGGGCACAGGCCATGCAGAGCTTGTGACAAATTGCATGTTGCCCAAGTTTCACGCTAGTACACACAGTAGGACTGCACGTGGGACCTTGACAGACTGGAAATGGAAACAGCTGGTCATTATTTTATGTAGTTGAAGAAGCATTGTCATATGAAATACGTTGTAAGGAGAAACAGGTGGGGACTGAGTGTGAGGAGCCTTGGAGTTTAATAGTTTGGGACCACTCCTTTGTCCAAACTTTCTTATTAGGTTGTGCCTGCTTACACATAATAATTGTGAATTGTGGCACTTGTAAGTACAGGTTATCTTTTAGGAGTAAACAACGTAATCAGGAAATTGCAGGGAAAAGAATCCTAAAGAAAAACAAACAAAAGAGCTCTAGGAAACAAAAAAGACATAGCTTCTCTGTCTTGGAATCAGAAAAAAAAGTGCACAGAATAATCGAAAAGTGGTAAAAGAGGCCCAAGCACACTAACCAACACTCAAAGGTTGATTTAAGAAGGCCAAAGACAGAGTGTTCTCTCTCCTATGTGGAATATAGACCTAATACAAATACAGAAATATTATGAAAAACAGGTCATGCTCAGGAGAGGTGACATACAAGATGAGGAGGATAAAGGAAGGAAGTAAGAAGGTTAATATGGTTCTATACAAGAATGAATATACAAATCTTAAACCGGCTGAAACCATCATAAGAAAGGATTAAGGCAGAATGAAGAAAAATAGAGAAGATGAACCAATTGGGGTTATAACACATATGAACATGGAAATAGCACAAGAAAACTCCCTGTGTAGCTCCCTGTATCTCAAACAAGCAAAAATGTCACTTTTTTTCCCTTTTCTTTTCTTTTTTTCTTCTATAAAATCAGAAAACAGGAGGGTGAAACAGGTCCTGTCTGGGGGGTTGGTACCAGTGGGAGGAGGGAGGTGGCAGGAAAAGGGGGTAGGAGGGTGAATCTGGTGCAAAAACTGTGTGCAGATATATGCAAATGCAAAAATGATACCTGTTGAAACTATTCCAGTAATGGAGTGAGGGGGGATAAAGGAGAGAGGTGGAGGGGTGAATTCAAGTATGATACATTTGATACAGCGTAAGAACCTGTGTATATGCCACAATGTACACCCACCCAGCACAATAAAAAAAGTAAAATAAAATTTTAAAAAAAGATTGATTTATGTCTATTGAATAAGGGAAATCAGAATAGGCCATCTTGGGAAGGAAGCTGGCTTGAGAGCTGTGCTAATAGCAGAGAGAGAAATGGGGCGGCAGCAGTGTGGTAGGAAATTTTGTAGCTCACACTGTCCTGCAAAGGCACAGCACAAACCCAGCCACTCCAAGTGTGGAAAATACTCCCAGCCTCTGAAGAAGGACCCTGTGTTGATTCCAGATATTGTTATTCCTGCACGCAGGGAGAAAGAAGAAAGGAAAGGGAACCAAGGTATTGACAGGACAACCAGCTTCTACTTTTTCATGTGTCTTGGATGTCACTATGAAGCAACCACGAGACTTTCCCTGCTGTCACGTGTTGACTTGTTCTTCCTCAACTGAGGCTATCTCCTGAATGTCCTCTCTTCTTAAAGCTGGGGAGATTCTGTTTCTGAGTCCGGGGCAGTGTGGATGTAAATACTTGTTTGTCCACGCTTGTGCAGAATGAAGGAAGTAAAGCTCAAGTAAAGCAATGTGTCATATCATATTGCCAAAAGGTTGCATCATTTCTAAACTTTCCGGAAGACTAGATGGGCGAGAGGTCATCTGTGTTTGTTTTGTGAAGTTTGGCCTACCAGGAAATGTGTGGGTACAAGAGATATTTTGGGCCCTAGAGACTCTCACTTAAGATGCTTAATCCGTCAGCATGTGCTATAAGCTTTAGCCTCTAACTAAATCTTTGAAAAGAGTGGCAAGTTGTGAAGTATGTGAGAGCTTTGGCTGCACTAACAGAGCCACGCATAAAATACTGTTGCCAAACAGAGAGTAGAACCAGATGACAAAGATTGAAAACACACACTATGTATTCACTTTTCTATAAAATACTCATTACGACTTAATCCAGGAATAGTCATTTCTAGAAGAATTGCATAATCACTCTCCAATCCATATTAATTAAGGCTGTAAATTGGCCTTAAAAGAAGATTTTGCATCAAAAATTTTCATGTCAAATTTCTTTAAGAATATAATAGAATTACTTCATCAAGGAAGAAAAACTGTTTTAAGGAAGTAATTTTCAACACACAATTAAAACAGATATTATTATTAGTGGCCCCCCAGCAATCCTTCTCAATTCCCTTATAAACATTTTATTTTATTTTGGTCTCCTCACCACCCATGACCTAGAAGGCAATGGCACCCGATATCCAGAAGAAATTACTCTTCCCTATCTTTCCCATGTGATTCTGGTGGAACTGTTAAGAAAAGTAGCACATACTCTCCTCCAGTACACACACACACACACTTCCAGCCCCAATCACTCAAGTAAAGCATGGGGAAAGTTACAATAGGACATAACAAACCTAACACACACAGGAAGGCAATACTAAGAGATGGAAACAGAGCCCAGTTCTACCCATGGAAGGCACAGGATAAATGATGGCTCACCTCTGTTGTTTGAGCTAGTTCAGAAGAATTCTCACACCCAAATGCAGAACTTTCATCTCCCTAGGGATAGGGAGTAGAGTTCATGAGCACAGTCATGTTGACACAGTAGCATATGAGTGCCACCCCTGGCGTTGTACAACGTGTTGAAAGGAAGGAACCTCCAGCTCCCCTTGCTGCACCCATCAGCACCACCCATTTCTCATGCCTTGCCTGGCCTTGGGTAAAGCCACTTCTAGAACTTCCTGCCTAGCACACAGGTGCACAGTGGCTTCTCATACCACCACCACTCCCATGTTTCAGGAACACCTTGGAGAGCAATATTCCTCCTCTGTTTTTCCCTTCCCTAATCTTCACAACACAGGAGCCAGCCCTTCCTCGGAAACTCTTTCCGGATATCCCCCATGTGAACAAGGCCACTACTTACAGTAAAAGGCAGCAAATTCTTTAGACCTAATTCCTGGTTCCATAAATTTCCTCTCAGAAACACTTATACTCCCCATTTCACAGAGGCTACCAGGCTACTTCTCAAACATCCACCTTGAGTCACATATCCAATCCTTTCCACTTCCCTGAGGCAGTTTCTTCTTCTGACCTGCCCTTTCTTTGCATAAAGGATTTGAAAATCTATTCTTCCTAGGTTTTTGGCAGTACTGGGGTTTTGAACCCAGGGTTTTGCATTACTAGGCAGGAGCTCTACCACTTGAGACACACCTGCAGCCCTTTTTGCTCTGGTTATTTTGAAGATAAGGTCTTGCTTTTTGCCCAGGCCAGCTTAGACCAAGATCCTTCTATTTATGCTTCTTGCAGTAGGTGGGATGGCAGGTGCCTGCCACCATGCCCAGATTTTTCTGTTGAGATAAGGTCTTGGCAACTTTTTGCCCAGGGTTGACCTCACACTACAATCCTCCCAATCACCACCTCCTGAGTAGCTAGGATTACAGGCATGAGGCACCAGTGCCCCTGTCTACTTTTAGTATAATAGTAACTCACAAAATGTACTGCCTCTTTTAAAAAGTGTTTCAATCTTGGAGGCAGGATTTGTGTTTCTTTACTGTGGGGATTGCACACAATCCAGGAAAGCCTGGATTCTTGACTTCCTAGTTATAGATGCGCCTTGGTGACTCACTGTATATGCCCTCACGGGTCCTGATAGAAGAGGGAAAGGGACCTTCTCTCTTGAAAACATTCACAATAAAAGATGCAAGACAAGCTTCACTACCAATCCTCTGATCAAAAAGTAAAAACAAAAAACAACCAAACAAAAAACATAAAATGAAACACCAAATGAACAATAACAGTAGAAAGAAATCCGTGGGTCTAAACGCCATGACAAAAGTGGTTGTAAAGAAAGCTCATGAGGGGTAGAGTGGGTGAGGTGGGCCGAACAATGTGTACACATGTGAGTAAATGTAAAAACTATAAAATAAATAAATAAATTGTTATATCTGGGGTAAAAAAAAAAGAAAGAGTCACAGTGAAAATGCAAAAGCATGTGAGTTGATTCATGGGAAAGAAATTGAGGCCTTGTATTTAACATTTTTCTAGAGAACAGTCTGGAAACTCTCCTCCCAGCATCTCAACACTTCTGCTTTCCACCTGTTTTGCATCAGTTGTTGGTGAAGTCATCAATTCTATTTCCGCCCTGGCCATTCAATTGTTCAACACATTTATTGAATACCTACTGTGTTTCAGGAACCATTGTGGAGCCCAGGGATGCAGCAAAGGAGAGAGACAAGGGCCCTCCTCTGGTGGACATTAGAGGGAGTGAGGGAGAAAGATTATAAAGACATAGACAAGGCAACTTCAAATTATGAGAGGTGCCACAAAGCCAGTAAACCAGAATCAGCTAATATCTTGAACTCCAGCCTTTTAAAATTCCCTCAGTTAAACTACATTTATGATCCTCATTCCTTCTTGGGTGGGTGGTTATTATTCCATCTCCACCTCTCCCCATAGAGTACGAGGCCTAATGCTGCCTGATGCAGAACCATTCTTGTACTTTTGGCTTAAAAGTCTCAAGATGTGCCACATGAAACACCCCTCTCCCTTTACAGGAACTCATGTTGTGACCAAGCACCCCTTGCAGACCTGTCTCCCACAGTGCCCTTTGTACATCCTGCATTGTAGGCAAACAAGACAGCTCATGGGACACACACACTTTCCTGGCTCCCTTCCCAGGCCCTCAGATGGTGCAGTCCTAAATGGCTCATCTTGGGGTCTAGACCTCTGTTGAAACCACTCTACAGGTCCTCCTCCTTTCTCCTTCCACATATAAAAATAACTTCTCCTTCCTTGGGCCCCTAAAATACTTGGTCTATTGGACTTTATCTTACTATCTATTTTAGAGTCACTGCTGCCCATTGCTTTTAAGAGCAAGAATAGTGACTTCATCATTTCTATATTCTTATTGTCTGTCAGTGTGCATGACAGACAGTAGCTTTTTGATGCTAGTTATTATGAAAATGACTTAGAATAAATTGGGTGACTGACAGAAACCTTTGATGGATATGAACTACCATCATGACTGCACTTCAAGACCCTCAGGCTTGGGGTTAGGTAATACATTTTGCTAGAAATGAGTCTTACAGCAGTGATTCTTAGTGTGTGGTGGAATTGAATGCTTGTATCCAATCCCCTCAAATTTGTATGCTGAAATCCTAGCCCATAGTGTGTTGGAATTAGGAGGTGGGACCTTTTGGACATGATTAGGGTGGAACCCTCATGAATGGGATTAGTGCCCTTATAGAAGGGTCCCCATAGAACTTTCTTACGATCTTTCTGTCACAAAAGAAGATAGCAATCTGACACCCAGCAGAGGGCCCTCACCAGAACCTGACCAGGCTGTCTTTGGATCTCAGACTTCCAAACTCTAGGACTGCAAGAAATAAGTTTCCAAGCCAGGTGTAATATTACATGGCTATAATCCCAGCGCCACAGAGGCTGTGTCAGGAAGAGCATCAGTTTTAGGCCAGCCAGGGCTCCATAGTAAGATCCTGTCTGAACAAAAAAAAAGAAGAAGAAATTTCTGTGGCTTAAACGCCACTCAGGCTATGGTATATTTGTCATAGCAGCCTGAATGAAGATGGTGGGCTACTCATTTAACAAATACCTAAAAATGTGAAAATGGCATTGAAATAGGTAAAAGTTTAAATAATTTATTTAGTAAAAAGTAGTAGGTAAAAGAATAATTTATTTTTGAGGTTCATAGTAGGAAAAAGTCTAGATTGCCAGCAACAGAATTTTAAAGGTGATTCTAAGACAGTACGCAAAAATGCTTTGGTTGGATTGGTAGCCCAAGCTAGGAAAAGAACAGAAACTAATATTCTGAGTACCTACTATGTGTCAGGTATTGCAGCAGACACGGTGTCTCTATCATCTCTCAACCAAACAAGTAGATCACTTGCCTGGTTAAAAACAGACATCCCAGTGTATAAATTTATCTTCCAAACTTGAGGAAAATTTCATCTAACAAACTATGTATTACTTACTTGTTATTATTGTAACTTGTCCATCTTCCCTTGCGTTCTTTCCTAACTACAGCAAAGATTTCGTATTTTTTTTGTCTGCCTCTGTATTCCCAGCACCTAGAATAGTTCTGGAGAAGCCAAAATATGCAATACGCAGTCAAAAAATTTTAATAATCAAATGATTTTGATCTTAACATTTTTCTTTCATATCTCTGCAAATACTAAGTGAGCCAGTCCTGCAACTGAGTCCTGGGAACAAAATGACCATTTTAAACATTTGTGAAGACCACATTCTTCTTTGCATAAATAAAACTGAAGTGTTTCTCCCTAGTGACCCAGCTTCACAGGTGTACATCCTGAGAACCAGAAACATCTGGATGAAGAGGGAGGAAAAAAACCCTACAATGTTCCAACCCTACAAAATGTGTTTTAAAAGACAAAATGAGAGAACGCTTCAGGAACAGCCAAAAGCCTTCTACAAAAAGAACTCCCTTGTGGAATGATGGAAAGTTTTGGAACCAAGGTTTCCCTGGGGCTGGAAGTGTTACTGGCTTCCAGGACTGAGCCAATAATGCTGCTTGAGTGGGTGTGGCTCCAAGTCCAGCGTCTGCCACATTTGATTCCTCCTCCCCAATTCTGAAGACAAACCAGATAGAAATTAAATCTGCTGGAGAGCTGTAGTGCAGTGGAAAGTACATGTGGCTACAACTAAGAGAAGTCCTTTCTATTTATTTTTGAATACCAAGCTGTCCTTTCACTGGCATTCCTGAGATTCTTGCATAATGGTGTTTCAGTAACTTAACCATGTGGTATTACTAGAAACTGTGCACTCTTTTCTTCAGTAAATAAGGCAGATAAGAGACCTGAATACAAAGTAATAAGCTTGTGTTACCATCTAGGAATATAGTTCTAGTTTTTCTGCCTAATAAAGAACTAAGAGGCAGGAAAAGTGAGAGTTTAGTGAAGTTTATTAGGGCAACAGAACATGAAATAAAAGCAGGGGAAAAAAAAAAAAGCAGGGAAGTCCTCCAAGGAGGAGGGGACCCAGAAATCGGTAGTACGCTGACTTCTGCCAGGATTTCCTCTTTTAAGATCCTCTCCTCCCGCTCTCCAGGTGGTGTGAGGTATACCCTCCCTTTCAATTTGCCTAGACTTTTGTCCTCCTCGGTCCTCCATGGTCTTTCCATATCCCTGGCTGCATCCCCTGCCTGCGAGCTGAGTGATATGGAAGTGCAGGGGTCTTCCCTTCCCATGTTGGGAAGAAGCCCCTGTGTCACTTGTGCCATGTGGAATCCACCATCTTTCTCTGACTGCCTATATACTGCTACCTATCCCTCATACCCTCCTCTTGGATGGCACTCTGACTATGATTTGGGATCAGGGCGATGACCGCTCTGGCTTCTTCTTGCTGAATAGGGACGCTGTAGGGTTGCAGTCAGGGCACATCCTTGAAGGGGAATGCTGGCCAGTCCAGCAGACGGCAGTGGATCTGAGGAGGCAGTGATTCCATCTGCAAGACCATTTGGAGTCTGATTTATTCTAAATGAAAGGAGACAAATTTTACTAAAAGATTGAAAATGCAGAGTCCAGAGATGAGGAACAGGAGACTAGCTAATAACTGCCCCAGAAGGGGAAGAAACCAGGAAACAGAGGCCAACCGGGTCTTAA